ATATAAAATGTGTGCTAATCTGTGCTGAGAGTACAATAGCATTAAAATTTTAATTAATTACATGTATAGTCCAATATAATAATCGTTGATATTTTATATATAATTGTTAACATTATTATAATTTTTAACAAGTTTATTAAGAATTAAAAGACATAATTTTATCACTATTGTTACTCTAAGAACTTTTATTTATTCTATAAAATATTGAGAAGGTTGTAAGACAAATGCAATATGTTAAGAATTACTTGAACAAAATTACAAATTATTCTAAATTGCATTTAAAAGTAATACAAAAAAATTAGAGACAGTTGATCATCTGGATGAAAAGTTACTTCAATAAAAAGTAATATTTTTTAAACTCTAATAGAAATATATGAAAATGGATTACAAAGTAATGATAAAAATCTCAATTTTTTTTATAAGTACTTTATGAATTCAAAAATATTTATGTAAAGTTACATTGATGCAGACATTAATTGTTCAGTAAATAAAACAAAATATTTATTTGTTATAAACTAATTATATGAATCTCAATAAAACTTTGCATAAGTCATTTTTAGCACTTAAAATATTTGTATAAAAAAATTCAGATTTTTGTTATTAAAATTTTTTTTAACTTTTGTTTATAACAATAAAACTAATGTCAAATAAAATAAATAATCTATAAAAGTGTGCTCAAATAAAAACAGAATGTTATAAACACAACTTTCACATGTACGTAGTTTGTTTAAAGTTTAAAGCGTAAATATTAATATATATGTCCCTATTTTATGTCCTTAAAAATCTTCTTAAATATAAATCTGCAGAAGAGACAGTTGAAAAATTATATCACAATACACAGAGGAGAGAAAGAGAGAGAAAGTGAGTAAAGCATAATGAAAGATAAAGATGACGAAACCCCACACCACACCGTTCGAACACGCGCGTTCTCGAGCTCGCGCAACCTCCAGCTGTCATGCGATCCTGTTCAGATATATTTTCTTGCAAATACCCAGCTACCTTATCTGTTAACAATGGCAAATTTCATACACGTGGAATGGACGCTATGGACGGGCGAGTCCACTGCGCAGTGTGCTGGACCATCTCGGTACATCGTTTCAGCTGCTGGCCTTTTAGTTTCGAAAACGTACGCTACGTGGAGCACATTCGATCGACTTTCTCGTCATTAAAATTGCTTCACTACTAGTATGAATACGAGGCTGGCAGGTAAGCTCGTCAGCTTTGCGCAGTGGCGATATCGTAACCAATGAGGTTCTACCGAGGTGCGATTATTGCTAGTTGAAAACTTTTACCAATACCCCGCCATGACGATGTGAAATACCATCGGCTACGGCAATTTTTGAAAGTTTCTGCGGAAACTGATAAATCGAATTCAAATATAAAATATTCTTAAGAATAGAGCATTTTTATCTCTACAAATTTTATTTAATAAACGGGAAACTGGTCTTTATTGAGAACTTTAATAAGACACACTCCCTACATATTCTAATTTTGTTTATGCTTTTTTTACATGTTTAATTGGGGTTATATTTTATGAAGAATCGTTTAAATGAGAGTCTTCGTTTGTACCATTATAAACTAAACAAAATAGAAACATAAATTAATTTTATAATAATTTTTTATAAATACAAATAAAATAAAATTTTCTTTATTTAAGTTTTTTAATAAAAATATCTCGATATTAACTATATTATTACGAAAGAACTGAGAACACAATGATATAACGTTACAATATAGTAATAATAAATTAATTTGATATATAATTAATAATAAATTGATAATAAATATTTACAATTTTTTAAATTATATTAGACTTAACTTTATACTAAATATAGTAAGCAATGAACACCTATATATATATTACATTTAATATTTAAAAATACACAAACAGTTTCAACCCGTTAT